GGTTGTGTTGATTTAAACTTGACCTCATGTGTAAAACCACACCACATATTATTATATTATGTCAAATTTTATATCAAATATTATATATAGCATGATTCTTATTGAATTTATGATAAGTCCATCGTCTTATTGTTTATAAGATACCAGAAACCTGAAAACAGAATTTGGACAGCATTAATCACCCTGAAAGAACACAAAAAACACATTTCATGAAGAACTCATGCACAACGAAAAACTCATTCGTATAAAACCCAACGAACGAACGAAGATCACACTCAAAACTCTCCTATACAAAACGCTCAAGCCGTATGTGGCACGAAAGCAAAAGCAAACCTATTCAACCTCTCGAGAATTCCGTTCGCTTTCCTTCTAGCCCTCGAAGTCCCATTCCTTGCGACCCGACACAAAGTCTCGTACGCATTCTCAACCTCACTAATCTTTCTTAGCTTCTTACGATCACCAAAACACATGGTGTAAACAATAGCCACACATAACTCCTCACTACTCTCACTAATAATCTCCCCCTTGCCTAATAACCCGAACAAGCAAAAAATCACCCCACACTCATCCATCTCGTCAATCGCCCTATGATGACTCGATAACAACGCAAGAATCCCAAGCATTTCATTGACGAGCACACGAACAACAATCAATTTTTCCATAATAGCAATAATCGCCCCTTCCGAAATAGCCCTTTCTTTATTCTCGGTTAAAGTACACAAGGCATTCATAGTCGATAATGCATCTTTTAACATTAAGTGGTTCCCTTCTCGAACTATCTCGACAAGAGGCCCAAGAGCACCCGATTTACCCAGTATGTGTTTGTTCGAATCGAGTGATGATAACTCGGACATGGCAGCAACAGCATGTCGTTTTATCTCAATATTTTCATTTCTCATAGACGATATGAGGAATTTAACTGCTAGTGAGCTCGTTTCGATTATTTTCCTCTTGTTGGGTTCGTGTGTGGCAATGTTCAAGGTGATTGCGATTAAGTCTTCATGAAGACACGGGTCGAAATAAGCCCTTTCGACTAAATGCTGGCTGAATATACAAGAGATTGCGAACTTTACCTCTCCAAAAAGGGATCGGAATAAAGGGAAACTTGATGTGAGCAAACGCAGCTCTTTTGCGGCTTTTGTATCGGACGAGTAGAAATGTTTTTTTAGTAGCTCAATGAGGTGTTCTTTGTTTGCATTTGCTGATGATGAATGGTTTTCATCATCACCGGTGAGGCTGACGACAGCTGGCATGTTGGTTTCTCGCGTTTGATGCCAATTTATGATCATTTTCTTGATCGAGTGATTCGGGATGAGGAGGGTGTGGGACAACTGTTCGTCACTCTTGGGGCATTTCCGGTTGCCATTTTCTAGCCATTTTCGGATGAATGTCTCCTCGTACGTCTGCAAAGAATGCAAAATTTATGTCTTTTCTCGTTTTCTTTTTCATGAACAAGTAAAAGAATTCCATATTCTTATGTGGTTACTTGCATTTGTAAGCCATAGCATCTAACAGTTACATGTGTTCTTGAAACATTGACCCCACATTATCAATTATTCAAAAATCGCCCCACTCGAACTCGACTCATGTTTGGGTTTTGCCAAAAGCTCATTCTAGCTCGACACTGTCAACAAACCGAAAGAAACCCAGAAACAATTTTCGGAACTCTACCGAAAATGAAAGCAAGCTCGAACAATTCTGCTTTTCACAATATAGCTGAAACAACAGAGAAAAAACACAATAGAATGCAAAATACTTTCAGTACAATCCCAATTCCACACAGGCCCACCCAACATTCCTCACTAAACCCCTACCCAAAAAGACCAAAAAAATACAGTTTCAAATTCAAAGAACAAACAGCATTACCTGACCGGAAGCTAGAACAACAGGGTCCATCATTAGAGTCCCAGAAATGGGACATTTGAATTCCTGAGGTGCTTCATGAAAAGAAACATTCTTAAAATCAACAAATTCTTGATCTTTATTAGCAAGCTTCAAACCCTTGAGAGCACACAGATTTCTAATGGCATTATCAATTATCCCCAAATTGTGGTCTCCTTCATCTTCCTCCACAAGGGCATCCACCAATTTTCCAAGCTCCTTCTTCAGCTCTGCAACTGCCTTAACAGCCATTTTTTATTTTTTTATTTTTATTTTTCACATTTCATTGGGAAAAGGGTGAAAACCAAAATTGTGACCCTTTGAAGTGTGGTTAAGAGTGGCGCTCAAGATTTGCAGGATATTGAGAGGGTTATGTAATGTGGTGGCTCCCAAATGATACTATGATTTGCTTTTTTATTTTGTTTTTGCTCTATAACTAGTACAGAGCCCGTGCGATGCACGGAGTGCATAATTTTAAGGCTATTTATCCAAGTTTATAATTATATACACGAATAAAGAAAAATGTACGGGATATATATTTATTTGGAGAATATTATATTATAAGATGTAATATTTAATAAAAGTTTATAATACGCAAGAAATTGTACAATGTTCAATAAAAGTTTGATAATATTCAAGTGGAGTCTTAAAATCTCTTGTACATTAAGACTACTGACAAAATAATATTTTAATCAATGAGTTTCCTTTCCTTGTAGCCAAATTGTGAATGTGACTTGAGGAGTACAACAAATCGATATATAGCTGACTTGCTTTTTTTATTGTAGTTTTTTTTTTATTTTTTTTTATAATGCATTTAAAGTTATTCTAAAATATAGCGAAATTTATTTTTTTATTACAATTAGGAATTTTACTAAATATAAACTCTCAATCTATGGTGTTAATCAACGTTTAAGTCTAAAAAATTAGGAATTTTTACCTCTTTTAATCAACGTTTGAGTCTAAAAAACAATAGAGTTATTATAAGTTTTTTTTTCTACATCTTTTAAAACATTAAATATGAGCATGTTAGAGCTAGCTTGTAAAATAATTAATATATTATCTCACTAAAATATTTTTACTTAAAAATTTAATTTTAGCATATAAATTTATCCCTTGATATAAGAGAAAGTAACAGTTTTACTTATTGTTGTTCACCATATAATATTTAATTATTATTTTATTATATAATAAAAAAGGAATATTGTTAAATAGTGTAGTAGAATTGTTATAAAATTATATGATTTTTTTTTTTACAATATGGATTTAATATTTCTTATGATTTGATAATATAAACAAATCTATACTTAACTTTGACAGATACAACAAATAAATACTTTAGTAAGTATTTAATGTATATACTAAATAGAAATATATTTGGTATAATCAAATACCAAATATAATCAAATAAGTCAAATTGTACATTTTTATTTAGTATTTGATTTTTTTATTATTAAAATCTTTTTATTATACTTATCTTTTTTAAAATAAAACAAATAAATAAATCAATTAAATAAATAAAATATTATAATACCAAAATAGTAATGACATTTAATGCAGTTGACTTTTCAGGATAGTAAATATAGTAAATAGAATATCCTTTTATATAGTATAATACGGAAATAGTAATACAATAAATGCTGTTGACTTTTCTGGCTACTTAATTTAGTAAATAGTACCCCCTTTAATATAAGTATAGATTGCGTCTTGTTTCAGTAAGGTACAAATGCATTTTGGTGGTTGAGTATTTTTTAGCTCAAAAGCCTCAAATAATAAATTCTACATATTTGTTTGGGTTTTACTTTCAACCTTTGCACTCACAGCTTAATTGAAACTTATAAAGTAGAAATTATTACTACACTTTAGGCTTTCTCTAGATTAAAAGAACTTGTATATTATGAGAGTTTATATTGTTGAGTGGAGCCGAGCCCGATCTTAAATTCATATAATTAGATGTGTAAATGAGCTGAACGAGCCTTTATTAAATTCGTCTCAAGTTCATAACAAGTCAGAACTTCAGTTTTAACGAGTTAACTTATAAAAATTACGTAAAATACATATTTTTAGTCTGAACGAGTCGACCGAGCCGAACTTGACTTGCTCTCTAAATGATTTTGAAGTTTGCTTATTTATCAAATCAGTCGAACTCACGAACAACTCAATTCATTATGCATCTATATTCATAATTTATTATTATTTATTCACTTTGATTTCTTGAAGTTTGCTCTTTATTTTTATTTTATTTTTTACTTGACACTGTTCCTATTGCCGACATTTNCAAAGTGGTGTCAGTGGTGACAACGTAAGGACTTGTCTATTATTTCCATTTTCGTTTTTAGAAAACCGGAGAAAAATCAAAAAGGACAAGAATAAAGTGATTCCCTTTGATGTGCATGTTGAATGTGCCATTTCCACTTTGAATTCTAAAAATTCTTTACCGTTAGGTTGACATGTCCAAGTCTTTTAAAATGATGTTTGGTGAGCAATCTATTGTCACAAGGGCCTCTTATATAACCGACTAGTTAAACCCACAAGAATTATTTTTTATTAACTTTGCTATGAAGTCATTGGATGACACGACTTATAACCTTTGATGACTAATTAAATGACATGCGTCATATTTACGTTCATTTTATAATGATTTTTGTGTCCGTTTCGTCGTAGTTTGATATATAATTAATTATATTTAATTAATTATTATTTAATTATTTAATTATGTTTATTAAGCTATGATGAGGTGTTTTGTTTGAGTTTTGATAAAAAATGGGATCGAATTAATTTTTGGACTCGAAAATGGAGAGAATCGGTTAAAGACGGTATGCGAGTTGGACATGAGAATGGACCCAATTACAAGACCATGTTGAAGTAAAGGAAATCTGCCCGTTTACACCAACCAAGAATTAAACCAGCCACTTTAGCCCATTTGATGTTTGGTGTGCATTTGGGCCAGCCCACAAACCATTAAGTGAGGGGCATTATAGTAATTGATGAATTTAGCTTCTTCTTCCTCATGAAATGTGAATCTCACGTACACTGTACATCCGCCCACCATGAAAGTACGGCCTGAGCTCCCTCACCTCGCCTGCCAAAGGGTCGCTCGGCCCGGACCCGGCCCGGTCAAACCGCGTTGACCACGGGTCCGGGACCGTGTAAGGGTCATCCATTTCATGACTCGGCCCGGAGGGTCAGGGCCGGGCCGGGTCGATGACCCTTCTTTTCAATTCTTTATTTATTTTTTTATACTTTTTTTTTTAAAAGCACGGAACCGGCCCGGACCCGGCACGGCCCGGACACAGACCCGGAACAAGTATAGGTCCGTGCCGGTTCAAAGTCAGTGTTTTCGAACTCGGCGACCCGGCGGGCCGGACCGAGTCGTGACCCGCCTCGGATTTTGGCCATGTCTACATATTTGTGTACAAATGCAAAGATGGTTTTTGCACGTCATTTCGGACTCGTGTCTACTTCCCACTTTTTGGTTCTTATATTGAAGGAAGCAAATTTTGCACAACAGTTTATATTAAATTCTTTTGTACATACTCCTAACCTACTGTCTCAAAATCAGCTTTTACTCAGAATTGGACCATCATATCTCCCAACCTCACCACCAAGAAAGCAAAACTACGTTTTTATACAGTTTGTTATTTGTCGCTTTATTTTATTTTCGGTGGTTTGTATAAATTGTACATCAACACATTACACAAGTTTTTCTATGAAGCCGGCTCACGGTGGCACCAACTTCCTATAAATTAGCAATATAAAACTTGATAGCAACACACCCGAATTATCTGAATCAACCTTCCTTAATTCTATATGCAGTTGGAGCTCTTGGGATGTTGGTAGTTCCGTACTTATCTGAACTCAAGCCCAGTTCAAAGATATAGCCCATAGATTGTTCAACAATTTATGTTGGGACTTCAACCCAAGGACCAAGAGATCGTGATGGGTCCATTTATTAAAATTATAGACCCAAAATTATCCTTAATTTTAGTGCAAATTAGCACATAAATTGTGTATTTTTTAATTATTTTTATTATTTTAACATGAAACGTTTCTATAATTAATGGACGAGTTCACACTATGGCGGTGAACTGGAGTTTAAACCAAAATGCCACGACAGGCACAAGTTTTAAATAATTAATTCATCACTCCCGTACGAATATATGGTTATGTTTGGTAGACATATAAGCTAGTTTATAATTTATTTGATTAGCTTATAAGTTCCCTGTTTTCAAATAAGCTCCATTTGATAGGATGAACTTTTTTAAAAAGCTCGAGCTTATTTGATAAGCTTCTTTGGGTAGCTTTTCAAATAAGCTCGTTAAAATTATTATTTCAGCTAGCTTATCAGCTAATTTTATCAAACACTTCTATCATATAAATTAGTTTTTCAGCTATAAGTCATAAGCTATAAACTATAAGCTCGAAAGTTACTGATATGCTATAAGCTAGCTTATAAGCTATCAGCTTGTTTTACCAAACATAGTCTATATCTAGAATCACATCTTGACAAATAAAATCGAATGACTTTATTTATTTAGATACAGTACCATGTGCCAAATTGAGAATAAGATAAAATTGACGTTATCTTGTCAAAATAGACTAGTATAACACCCGCGTTGTACACGGTTGCCTAAAAAAATTGAATAGAAAAAGTAAAAGAGTTCAGTTATTGTAAGTATATAGAAAATAAATAAAAGGAAATTTATCAACAACAACTAGTTTATATTGGTATATTATTTCAAATTCTCAAAAATTTATTTGTACACAACATTATTACTTCTATTATAATTTTTTCATCATTGTCGTGACATCCGTAAATCAAGAGGCTAATAAGACGAGAGATGTCTTTAGTTATTTAAAGTTGTTATTGGATGTGTAACACCTTTTATATTTTCCCCTTTATTGTAAATAGCAACTTACTTGTACCCTAGGTATAAATACCCTATACTACTATTGTAAAACTTAACTCTTTCATTGTTTAGATAATACAATTCTCTTTTACGTTTTTCTCTGCAATTGTGTTCTCTCTATTTATTCTCTCGTCTAACATGGTATCAGAGCAGCCCTGTCCTAGGACCTGCAATGATTTCTCTACTCGGCCTGCTCTGGGCTTGGGCTTAGCTCTACCCAGCCCACTCTGTGGGCTTAGGCTTACGAAGGACTCACAAGTAAGGGACGTGTTGGAATATCACTTGTGAGTTGTCCCACATTGATTCTACAGGGAAAATGAGCCTAGTATATAAGCCTAATGGGCTACTCCTCCAATCACCAATTAGTTTTGGGATGGAACCTCACTATGGTGCACCTAGGCTCATCCTCTTATGGTGCGCTTCATCTGGTTGGACCGCACCAACAAAGACACAGGCTCAAAAATAGGCTAGAATTTATCAACTTGGAAAAAAAAAATATGATGAATGGGTCTAAAATTTATTAACTTGAAAAAAATACGATAAGGGATGATAATTAAGATAAAGGCTAATGTTGACAATAATTAAGATAAGAGATATGTTTAGATAAAATTTTATTAACTATATTATCAATATAATTATAATGTATAATTTTAGTTCATCATTATTCATTATGCAAACAAATACACATACTCAAAAATGGGCTAAAATTTATCAACTTGAAAAAATAAAAGAATATGATGAATGAGATAAATCCTTAGTAAAATGAAATAAGGAATAAAAAGATTTGTGTGATATTTAAATTCAAGTAAAATTTGATAATGAAATAGAGATTGATGGAAGACAATAATGTATGGTAAAAAAAATATTTATGGCACTTTACAAGCCAATTTTGTTTCTAAATTATTTATTCGAACTTAAATACAAAACATGATATTGTGACATGTAGGATTTCAAAGCATGCGAGTCTACCACTTAGACTCAGCATGTTTTAAATTAATATATAGAGGAATATTGTTAGGATAAAATTGAGCCAATATTTAAAATATAATAGATACTCCTCTATATCTAACTAGAAGATAAAAAGAAAGAGTACTTTAACTAGAAGAAACAAAAATAATAGATATCTCTACACTTTAGTTGTAGAATGGTTGCTAAAGACAGTTTTACTCCAACTTGAGAAAGTTCGCACGAGGAGTTAGTTGAGCTTATTTATTAAACGAAATGAGTTTTGCTAGAATAAGATTGAGTCAATGAAAATTACTATATCTAACTAGAAGATAAAAGGATCGGGCACTCCGACTAGAAGAAAGAAAATAATAGATAGTTTTCCACTGTAGTTATCAAATGGTTGGTAAACACAGTTCTACTCTACTTGAGATAATTCGTACAATTAGTTAGTGGAACTTATATATTAAACGAATTGAGTTGAGTTGGTTCAAGAACAATTCTTTTAACTTTTTTTTTTTTTTTTGTAAATAAAATAGTAGAGCTGAACTTAAGTGCAAACAAACATTACGTATCTGCGAACAACTCAATTGAAATTTTAGATTTATTAAATGAGTCCAACCTTTAAATTGTTTATTAAACGAACACGAGCTCAAACTGGAAGTACCCGCCTCCAATCAATAAAACCCTTACTAGTAGTTCCCAGTTTGAATAATAAGAGTCGGCTTATTGTAGTCCTTGTATTTGCATTTCATTTATTTTATTTTCTTTGCTCGATTAATTTGTCTAATTAAGCTTATTATTATTGAGTTGTCCTCGTCTTTTTAATCCAATAAGCTTGAAATAAAGAAATAACTTTTGAGTAATGCCGAAAGGTGTTTTTTTTTTTAAATCTATTGAAAACTTCAAATTTTTCTGGAAACTGAGTGCTTGCTAAAGGAAAAATAAATGGGTGTTGCATTAGAAGACAATGATATATTCCCAAACATGTCAACTAGTTCAATAAATATGACCTAAGAGACCTATTTTAGAAGAGACGCGATCTAGTTTCCGAAGTCTATACGTTAGACAAATATTGTCGATGTAGAAACAAAAGACGAACGGTCAGTTAGTGCAAGTAAACAACACTTGTAACTAAAAAAACACATTTAGTTAGTGAACACATATCACTATATCTGTATATTATTAACTAGAAAGCTACGGCTGTGCAATGCACAGCCGGCCCAAGGAAGATAAAAATTTGATGTTCATGAATATGTGTACAGGTAAGCAGAATAAAGGAACTACTATTACTTTAGCGAAACACTAATACATAACATATAATCATCAAAATAAGAATAATGAGCATCAAGTTTGCAGTAGAATTAAAAAGCATCTATATGTAAACAGATGCTTACAATTCTAGGCAATACAATTGCTAAACACAAAAGTTTAGTTTGTTCGGCATATATGCCATGAAGAAGGTACAAAATGCAGCTACATCTATATGCGAATAGATTGCTGTAACAGTTGGCAATATAGATACAAGATACAAAAGATACAGTCCATAGAATCTGTGTTCCCCAAAAGTGGTAATATGCAATCATACAGGAGCTAATCCATTTTTGGCCGACTTTTCTTTGTCGGACTTGCATCACATATCTTACTGGGTTGCTGAGTTTGCTGGGCGGATGATTCAGGAATGTTGGTGGATGGGATAGTGGTTCCTGAGGTGGAGGATTGATGACTGTCAAAGGTGATGCGTTTTTTTGCCGTGGATCCCGAACCTACAATTGTTGTAGGCTTTTCACGTGCTGGAGTGAGGGAGTCAAGAACATTTTTTAGTGTTGGACTGAAGAGTTCTTTGTCCGTTATCTGTTTCGCGAATGTAGATTAGTCACAGTTAGTGTTTGTTCAATAAGCATTCTATGAAATTTTTATATATGTCATAGCTTATATTGTACCTTGGTTGAAGCTGAGTCTGACTCTTCCTTTGCTAGCTCTCTAGGCTGAAGCAGATTTTTGTCTGTTCGCACGCCATCAATTGTATAGAGCTTCAGGACAGTATGGTGAGTTGATTCATAGTGTTTGATGAAGCAAACCACACGACGTCCGCTCATTGCTGCTGCAATCTGAGCAGTCAAATCCACTTTCTGTACCCAGAAATAAAATGTATTTTACAATAGTTAAATAGAAATGATCTAGAATAGCTGGTAAGTGCACAAGACCGATTATTGATTATGAAAAGCAAAAAACAGTATGGTATTAGTTTCCAACGAGTCAATATATTATAGTTATAAATGGTTAAAGGGATAACTCAAGCCGTTGCTATGAATTAGAAGGCATAAATTTTGTTTTGGTTCCTATATAAATTATTGCATATAAATATGTTAAATAACCTGTTGTTCAGCTTGATATAAGTCGGTCCCATTAAATGGAATCACTTGTTCAGCATCTGAATCATACAACATTGCATGTATGTTTCCTGTCTCATCTTCAATTGCAATCGGTAACCGGCACCTAATTGTTATGAATCAAATCAAAGGTAATATGTGTTAGTTTGAGGCACATACAATTAATCAAACAGCTGACAAAGTTCCTAATATTATTAAAGGTCTGTAATAACTTATGTATAAGTTTTGTAGTATTATAATGATGAAACAATTATCATAATTTTGGGAATAAAATCTGGTACCTCACAATGTAAAATACATATTAAAATAAATAGATAATATTAGTAGAAGATAATAAGGCTTTAAATATTTTTCGCTCTCATTCTTTCCTCTCGCAGGTTTGCAGGAGTCACAGCTGAACACTCTTTCTCTTTCTCTCTAATGTTTCTCACTCTCCCTTTCCTAATATTTTCAGCATTTTTTCTATGATTTTCAGTCATTTCATTGAGCCTGATTTGTTCATTTCTGGTGATGCAGATTTCCTCTACAATGTGTGGAAATAAGTTTTTTTACTTGCAAAATATGCTGTGTAAACAGAATGGCATGTGGCAAACAATGAAGATTAGGTATATGAAAATTAAAATAGCAGGAAGTTTTAAATCCTAAGAAGCTTGTATTTGAAATGAGGCAAAACTACATAAGCATACAGCTGTAGATTGATTTCATTTCATTCATAGAAGTTAGAGTTATTTAATGATTAATTCAAACCTTGCTTCAACAAGGGTATCTTCTTTGCAACTTCGACATTTGACAGGCGTATTTGGAGGCACATTATAATTTTTGCGACAATTATTGCAAGTAGCTGTCCACAAAGATCTGTTGTCTCCCAAATATTTCAGATAGCCAGCAACCCAACAAGTTTTAGTCTAACAAAAAGATTATTAAGTTAGTGGCTGTAAATTTTCAATACTGAAGATATGGTGCTTAATATGTTATTTTATTTGCATAATCGTAATTTGATGTAGCTTACGTATCTGATGGAAGCAATTGCGCGTTGAACGGTGACTATCTCACTGGAAGATGGGTATGGAAACAACTTGTCTGTGTCCTTATACATGCCTTCCTCCACAAGCTTCATAACAGTTGCTTTGTTGTCAGCGTACCTATTAAAGAGTATGTGAGAAACAACCAAAAGGTGTGGTGTAATATTACAATTATTATATTGGAAATTGTGCAATACGTACCATTGCTTCAATCTGTCAGCAGCTACTATTGGTGGATTTATCATTAAGCAAGTTCCAGTTTTAGTTGATAACGACAGCCCTTTATAATGATATTGTGTTAATCAGATATGAGTGATTCATCAATTGTAATGTAGGAAATTGAAATTGCGGTCTATGATACCATTGAACGTCGTAACCCTTATCCTCATGGACAAAATGATGTTCCCAGCTAGTACTGTATTGGCCAAGTGTTGACCAACATCATCTTCCGTTTCAAATTGATTCCAAAGAGTCAAAAGGACAGGCTTTTCCCTGGTAAACAGACACTCATAAGTATAATTATTATATTGTTGAAAAAAATTTGAGTTATGATAAAATTCTTACTCTTCATTAATAATCACCAACTCTCGGGCCGTATTTTTTTGTCCCACGCTTTTGACCGGAAAAGCATGCACAACAACACCAAGCAGGTCTAGTATGTTTTTAATTCGACAGTGTTAGTTGGTTTGTTGTTTGAGCAAAGCATGTGGAAATTGTAAGCAAAGTAATATTTCAAATTTTAGACAAATGAGCTCACTTCTGGGGTTCTCTGTATCTGCGTATTTGTGCAAGTCTGC